ATTATTTTATTTTATTTTTATTTTATTTTATTATTTTTTATTTTATTTTTATTATTTTATTTTATTATATATTATTTTATTTTATTTATTTTATTTTATTATTTTATTTTATTTTATTTTATTTTATATTTTATATTTTATATTTTATATTATTTTATTTTATTTTATTTATTTTATTTTATTTTTTATTTATTATTTTATTTTATTTTATTATTTTTTTATTTTATTTTATTTCACCAGGCGGCCTGGCCTAATTTTTCTCCCTCTTTTATAAAAGATTTTAATTTTTTATATTTTTTAGTATTATTATATTCAAATTTTAAAATTGGTTTTAAATTGATTGGAGTTTTAATTTTCTGGGCCAAAACTATTAATTTGATTTTAATTCCACTTTTAAATTTTGTATGTATGTATTTTATTTTTGGCTGTGCACCGCCTGAGTCCTTCAGGAGTAGAGCGGTATAGAAAAAATAAAATAAAATAAATAAAATAAAATAAAATAAAATAAAATAAAATAAAATAAAATAAAATAAATAAAATAAAATAAAATAAAATAAAATAAAATAAAATAAAATAAAATAATAAAATATTTATTTTATTTTATTTTTTTATTTTATTTTATTTTTTTATTTTATTTTATTTTTTTTATTTTATTATTTTATTTTAATTTTATTATATTATTTTATTATTTTATTATATTATTTTATTATTTTATTTTATTTTATTATATTATATTTTATTATATTTTATTTTATTTTATTTTATTTTATTTTTTCTATACCGCTCTACTCTCCGAAGGACTCAGGGCGGTGCACAGCCAAACAATAAAATACATACATACAAAATTTAAAAGTGGAATTAAAATCAAATTAAATAGTTTTGGCCCAGACAAATTAAAACTCCAATCAATTTAAAACCAATTTTAAAATTTGAATATATAAAATACTAAAAAATATTAAAAATTAAAAATCTTTTATAAAAGAGGGAGAAAATTAGGCCAGGCCGCCTGGTGAAATAAAAAGGTCTTTAAAGCGCGGCGGAAGGTGCGCAGATCCGGGATCCTCCGTATCTCCAGGGGAAGCTCGTTCCAGATAGTAGGTGCAGAGAAGGCTCTCCCCCTGGGGGCCACCAGTCGGCATTGTTTGGCCGACAGTACCCGGAGGAGCCCCTTTCTATGGGAGCGTACCGGCCGGTGGGAGGCTATTGGTGGTAGTAGGCGGTCCCGCAAGTACCCAGGTCCTGAGCCATGGAGCGCTTTAAAGGTAACCAAAACCTTGAAGCGCACCCGGAAGACCACCGGGAGCCAGTGCAGCTCGCACAGGAGGGGTGTTACATGGGAACGCCATGTCGCTCCCATTACCACCCGCGCAGCCGCACTCTGCGCCAGTTGGAGCCTCCGGGTGCTCAAGGGGAGCCCCATGTAGAGAGTGTTGCAATAGTCCAGACGGGAGATGACGAGGGCGTGAGTGACTGTGCGTAAGGAGTCCCGATCCAGAAAGGGACATAACTGGTGGATCAGGCGAACATGATGAAAAATCCTCCTGCTCACGGCCATCAAGTGCTCTTCTAAAGACAGCCATGAATCCAGGAGGACGCCCAAGTTGCGCGCCCTCTCCGTGGGGGCCAATGATTCGCCCCCAATAGTCAGTGATGGCACCAACTGACTATATCGGGATGTCGGAAACCACAGCCACTCGGTCTTGGATGGGTTGAGCCTGAGCCTATTCCGCCCCATCCAGATCCGCACGGCCTCCAGGCACTGGGACATCACTTCAAGGGCATCGTTGGGGTGGTCTGGGGTGGAGATGTACAGCTGGGTGTCGTCAGCGTACTGGTGGTACTTCACCCCGAAACCATGGATGATCTCGCCCAGCGGCTTCACATAAATGTTGAACAGGAGGGGCGAGAGGACCGACCCTTGCGGCACCCCGCATATGAGGGGCCTCGGGGTCGACCTCTGCCCCCCTGTCAACACAGACTGCGACCAGTCAGAGAGAAAGGAGGAGAACCACTGCAACACAGTGCCTCCCACCCCTAACTCTTCCAACCGGTGCAGCATGATACCATGGTCGATGGTATCAAAAGCCGCTGAGAGATCTAACAGGACCAGGACAGAGGAGCACCCCCCTGACCCGAGCCCTCCAGAGATCATCAACCAGCGCGACCAATGCCGATTCCGTGCTGTACCCGGGCCTGAAGCCCGACTGGAACGGATCCAGATATGATGTTTCATCCAGGTACTGGGGGAGCTGTTGTGCAACCACACTCTCAACAAACTTCGCCACAAAGTGAAGGTTGGAGACCGGACGATAGTTTACCAACATTGCCGGGTCCACAGAAGGCTTCTTGAGGAGAGGCCTGACCACCACCTCTTTCAAGGCGGCGGGAAAGTCACCCTCACCCAAGGAAGCATTTATAATTCTGTGGAGCCAGCCTCGTGTCACTTCCCGGGAAGCCAGCACTAACCAGGAAGGACACGGGTCCAATAAACAAGTGGTCGCGTTCAGTCTGCCCAGAATCCTGTCCACGTCCTCAGGAGTCACAGGATCAAACTCATCCCAGATAACATTCTCAAGACCTGCCCCAGTCTCCCCTGAGACTACCCAGTCGGAGTCCAAATCTTCCCGAATCTGAGTGATTTTGTCATACAGATACTGAACAAAATCCTCGTCTCTACCCTCCAAGGGGTCCTCCCGCGCTTCCTGGTGGAGCAGGGAGCGGGTCACCCTAAAGAGGGCGGCCAGGCGGTTATCTGATGATGCAATAAGAGCAGAAAAATAGCTACATTTCGCTGCTTTTATCGCCACTAGGTAATTCCTAATATGGGATCTTATTAGTGTCCGGTCAGATTCAGAAAGACTGCCCTCCAATTACTCTCTAGGTGTCTTTTCCGGCGCTTCAACTCCCTCAGCTCCTCGGTAAACCAAGGAGCCAATTGAGATTGGCGCTGGGTCAGAGGCCGCAAAGGCACGACCCGATCCAGAGCTCCAGCGGCCACCCTATCCCAGGCGGCCACTAGGTCTCCAGTCGAGGTGTGTGCCAGAGCCTCAGGAAATGGCCCAAGCTCCATCTGGAATCTGTCAGGTTCCATCAGGCGCCTGGGGCGGAACCATCTTACTGGCTCCGCCTCCCTGCGGTGGGGTGCAGCGGTTCGAAGGTCGAGACGAAGGAGAGAGTGATCTGACCATGACAATGTTAACAAGATTAATCTTTTTATATTAGCTAAAAGCCTTCTATAATAGCAAGGGGACTCACTAGGAACTTCACATATAAGATCTTATTTAGAGGATTCATTTTCATCCACAATTGTTTTTATTTCAAAAGTGGTAGATATAGTGGGTAGATATTTTGAGCCAAAAAGGTTTTGATGGTGATTACTTTCAGTCCTATTTTCCCCAAACAATGCAATAACCTCTGCCAAATACATTTGTTCCTAAAATGTCCAGAGACTCACAGAGAATTCCTATTAGACTGTATGAAGGTTTAGCAAAATGTATCTTTAAAATTGTTGATAGGGAAACTTCTGTTGATCAGTTTGGAATCACTGGGTTTCAAAAGCACGTAACATTATGATGGAAAATTGTCTAAATTTGGATAGTGGTTCATTAGTAGCCTTAATAGTGCAGCATCTTTTTCTAAATTTCCTTTTTTCCTTTGATCACAATGTTCTTCAGCTGAAGTGATTAGTTCTTTCAAGTAACTGTCATAGAATTTCTAAGTGTTCTGGAGCCTAATTAATGAGATCCTTCAAAAATAGGCAGAGCTACAGATTAAAATGTTAGTCAAATGTAATACATTCTACATTTCTTCATTATTCAGTCTGTTGCAAAAGGAGTATACTATTGAACTTTCTCCCAACTGTAAGTATATTAATAGAAAGAAGTTGGTCTAAAACTATGAATTATTTTAGCTTTAACAGAAAGCAGAGATTACTGAACTATGAATGCCTACCGTCTGAAACTACAACAGTTTCTAAGCACCGAAGAAAACAATGTGGGCTGGCACACATACTTATCCATTTTTAATCAGCAATGAACAAAATCTTTTATGGCTTAGCTCTGTACAACACACCAACCTCCGAGGAACAAACCATGGTTTATTGAATTAATAAAATTTTCTGAATTTACCAACCACAGGATCCGATTTTAAAACAGCCTAGATTTAAAAAAATGCCTGCCTATATTGCAATTCAGAGCACTGGAAGAATAAAGCTCATTTCTTCATTATTTTCATGATCTATGGCAACTTAGCGTATGGCGTGAGGCTGTCCTTATTTCCCCCTTAGCTCAACACAAGACGGTTTGAATTATTCTAAAATAGACTGCAAGCCACTAACTAGCAAGGCCAGGACTGAAGACTCTCTTAACAAACAGGATGTTTTCTGATCCGATTCTGTGGCAAAATGTATTCGAGACGCCCACTGTGTTTGAATGCCAGCAGATTAACTTTAAAACAAAAAACAAAAACTGAAAACTTTTAAGAAGGATGCTATTTTTCCTGAACACCCAAGTATTCCATCAGCGAAAAGAATCCAAAAGGTTTGCAAGAAGAGAGAGAACCCGCCAAGGGGGCGGTTTCCTCCTCTTTCCTCCGCGCCAGGAGGACTCGGGCTTCTCCTCCAGGGAGAAACGGTGGTTGCATCGGCCAAATCTTGAAGAAAAAAAAAAAAAAAGAAGGACGGGGACTGGACCGGGGCGGAGAAAGCGAAAAAGAAGGCTCATTTACCCCACATCGTCCCTCCCCAAGCCAACTCCAACTTTCGCCTCCTCTCGCCCAGCATCTCCCGAAGGGCGGCTTAAGTTACAGTGTTTCCTGAGGCAACGCCAGAGAAGTTAACGCCGCCTTGCCAGCTTCCCTCCCTTGCCCAACTCTCTTGCCTTGCCTGGCGGGAAGCGTGCAATCAAAAACTCTTTCCTTAAGGCCTGAAACCCGAAAGAGAAGGAGGAGAACGACAAAGTCCGCCGCCGCTGCTGCCGCCGAGGGCGAGTTTCTAGCCTCACCTGCAACCGGACCCTTCGGAAGGGAAGGCAGCCGCCCGGACTTCGCCCTCCCTCGGCCAAAGGAGGGCCCGGAAGCATCGGAATCCGAGACGGGGCTCGCCATCTCCCTCGGCAGCTTCGGAGCAACCGGTGAGCCGCAGAGAGCATCTCTCTCTCTCTCTCCCTTCCTCCAGAGGCGTCCCCTTCGTCTCAGCTAGGAGGGAAGAAGCATCGGGGCGAGCGCGACGCCCGCGCGCGCACCCGCTCGAGGAAGGCGGTTGCTCGCTCGGGCGCGAGACTCCGTCGCGAGGTCGGCTCTCCAGAAACGCCGCCGCCGAAGACAAGGGGGCGGGCTTTTAAAGGAAAGGGCGTGGCTTCCTCGCGTTCCACTCCGTACTCCCAGCCCCTTCTCCCGCCCTTCGAAAGGCGCGCGCGGGGTGGAGCTGAGGGAAAAGTGGGGGCGGGGGGGCGGGAGAAGAGAAAGAGGGGCCGCCCCGTTTCGAAGCGGAGGTTCGAAGTTCTTCCTTGCTTCTCCCGCCTTGTTCCGAAGGCAGCTTTTTGTCTCTTGGCTTGCGGGAAAAGGGCTTGTTTAAACGGGGCTTGTTTGAAAAATCCCAAGAGACGTTGGTGACCAGACGGGTCTGCCTGCCTGATACAGCCCTTAGAAGTATTTATTTGTACTCATTTCATGTGCTCGGGTCCATGTTTATACTTAACACCTGTTACCTCGTACATGTTTGACAAACTAAATAAAACAAAAAATAAAAAGTAACCCACCCCGAAAAGTATTTGTCGATTTGGCCGTAAGAAAGAGGAAAAGAAAAAAAAAATCAGAAGGAATTGCCTTGATCAGAGCCACAACCCGAAGTTAACGAAGTAGGCAACTTTTCAGTTCCTCAAAGCGGCAAAAAAGCTTATAGGTTTCCAGCCATCTCCCCATTCGGCTGCCCCAGGGCAGACTCTTGAGAATAACTGACTCAAACGTGAATAGTCAGATCAGGCGGCTGCCAACAGCTATAAATTCAGGGCGGCACAATATTAAAGAGGAAGCATGCAGCAGCCTGTATAGGTTGGCATATTAACGGGCAGGAAATTAAAAAAAAATGGCACACCCATTATATTTCTAATCTTGCAACAGGAAATAAATACAAATATCTGGAGTTTAAAAGTGCTAGTTTATCGAGCCCTAAACTAGCTTTACATTACCAGGTCCTTCCAATCTGGGTTGCTGTTTCTCCACCTATTGTGCTCATCCGCACAGCCTGCTTGTCCCAGCACCCAAGCCCACTTCTTCAGCATGTGAAGGCATGAAGATGGACTTCCATGCTACAGCTTTCCACTCTCTACCTTTCTTTGTCATGGCCATACCGCAGGGCTATACTTGACCTTTGTCCAGTAGTCTTCTGCAACACTGTAAGTATGTGTCAGTGTGACACGGGATTGGTAGCAATCCTCCAGGATGTTGCATACATGGATGGACCCCATGTACAGCAGACCCCACTGCTGTAAATTGCCTATGGCTTCACACTGGTTGGGGCGGGGTCAGCAGGAACTGCAATGCAGACCCACCATGAAATCATGGGCACCTTTATCATGGCATGGTTAGGATTCAAGCTCCCCTATGGCTTCATTTGTGTGATTGTGTGGGTTGGGACTGTCATTCCAGTGTGTCAAGAAAAACAGCACACTTCTTCATTTATCCTTTGGTCTTGGGTGGGGTGACACCTCAAACAAATCCAGTGCGTAATATGGGGGTTCTCTTGGGATTCATGACTGCTGCTTGAGTAGGCGGCAGTCATGGCCAGGAGGGCCTTTGCACAACTTTCCTGGATCAACAATACCTGCTCAGGCCTTATCACCTCGAGTCTACTGACTATTGCAACACGCCGTACATGGAGCTGCCCTTAAAAAGCATTTGGAAACTCCAATTCATTCAAAATGCAGTGGCCTGCATAGTTTTGTGGAGACCCAGGCATGCACATGTATCACCTCTCCTGTGGGAGCTATGTTGACTGCCGATTTGCTTTTGACTGCAATTCAAAGTCCTGGTTGTCACCTTTAAAGTCCTTCATGGCTTGGGACCAGTTATTTGAAAGACTGTCTCTTCCCAGTTACATCCACCCGACCAGGGGTGGGTCCTACTTACCTTTACTACTGGTTTGCAACGGGACTGTTCGCACACACTCGCATCGCTCATGTGCACACACTTCTGCACATGCACAGATTACCCATGATGTCGTGGGGGGTGGGCAGAGCCTCCCGCTGGTTTTACTACCAGTTCTATAGAATCGGACTGAACCGGGAGCAACCCACCACTGCACCCAACCCATTAAAGCAGGGAGGCAGGGAATGTTGCTGGTCCCGTATAGATGTACCTTAAAGAAGGGCCTTCTCCACGATAACTCCCTTTGGAACATCAACTCCAGAGAGATTAGAGTGATGCTCTTTGACAAGGCCCTGAAGACCTGATTGTGCATGGAGAACCGAGAGTAGGATAGAGCCCATCAAGTGGCTTATTGTGTGTTGTTGCTAGGGGGATGGGGATTACTGTTTTTTTAGTCTTTTATATTGGGTTCTTTATTGGTTGTAAGCCACTCGGTTGCTGAGAATGAGTTGGTCATACAAATCTTCTAAATAAATAAACAAATAAATCCTGCCATTTGGGGTTGGAGAAGCTGGGCCATGGTTCTCAGAACTATGATGTGGGTGATCACTCCTCAGGATGGGAAAACTGACAGAAGAGCTGCTTCCTCATTTTAGTCCACCAGCATTTTCAGCATGGGTGGCTGAAGAGGTTGGGGGAGAAAAAGTGGCAGAGAATGCCATTCCTCAAATTCCAGGGCATTAAATGCTATTAAAATGGCTGTGTGGGTTTCAGGAATTGGCACCAAAGCAGCCATGCCTCTCAAATTGCAGTACAGACAAAATGCCTACTCAGCAATGTTGCTGTTTAAAAGGAATCCTTAATAATCAGAGTGAAATAACGGTTGGCATGTTGAAGTTGGTCTGGAGGAATCTCCAGTTTAAATTCATATTCAGCCATGGAAGCTTCCAGTGACTTTGGCCTCTCCGGAGTCAAGAGAATCTTGATCTCCCCAGACAGATTTGGCACGCAGTTTGGGGATCTTTTTGGACTTGGGAGTTCCTGCTGGAAGAATAGGTGGCAAAGAAGTCTTTAAACAAATGCATCTTATGTGCCAACGACAGTTATCTGATGGGATCTTGGAAGTATGCCTTCTCGTTAAGAAGAAACCTCCCTCTTGATATTTGAGGGATCCTTACATAATCAGTCTCCTAGAAGGCTGTGAAGACTTGGTTATTCTGAAGATAAGGGTTGAACTGGGATGACGTTTGGTCTCATACGGGGAAGGGAGGAGAAAGGAGCCTTGGTGGTGCAGCGGACTAAAGTGCTGTTAAGTAGCACTTAGCTGCCAGCTGCCTGCAATTACTGAGAGTTCAAATCTCACCAGGCTCAAGGTTGACTCAGCTTTCCATCCTTCTGAGGTAGGTAAAATGAGGACCCGGATTCTGGGGACAATAAGCTGACTTTGTATAAAAAAGAACACCGCTTAGGTAACACCTACTAAGCAGGTATATACAAAAGTATGAAGGCTATTGCTTAACGCATTGTAAGCCGCCCTGAGTCTCCGGAGAAGGGCGGCATATAAATCAAACCAATAAAAAATTACAATAAATAAGGATACTTTTGTTTTTAGCCATATTTTTATGGACTGTTGTGAGATAGGCAGCCATATAAACCCTAACATTAAATAAATAAATGCTGGGAAAGTTAAATTGGAAAAAACAATTACAGGTACTCCTCGACTTATAACCATTTGTTTAGTGACCATTTGAAGTTACAATAGCACTGCAAAAAGTGATTTATGGCTGTTTTTTACACATACGATTGTTACAGAATCACAAAGTGATGACCAAAATTCAGATGGTTCGTAACCGGCATATATTTATGAAGGTTGCGGTGTCCCAGGATCCTGAGATCACTTTTTGTGATCTTCTGACAAGCAAAGTCAGTGGGGAAGCCAGATTGACTTAACAACCATGTTTATTAACTGTGGCAAGGTCATAAAATGGGGCAACACTCACTTTACAACTGTCTTGTTTAGCAATGAAAATTTGGGGCTGAACTGTGGTTGTAAATTGAGGACCTATCCTGTAGCTCTTCAGAGAGACCAGTTATATGTTCAGTTAAAAAGATGCTTTTGAGGTTCAATATTTCTCCCCAAATTATAGCAATAGGAGAACCTACACCCATGATGGCGAACCTATGGGACCTGTGCCACAGGTGGCATGCAGCACCCTCTCTGTGGGCATGCGAGCCGTCACCCCAGTTCACCTCCACCATACAAATGCATGCACCTCCTGCCAGCCAGCTGGTCGTCGGGTCTCTGCCACGCATGCATGGGGGGTGGGGGGTGTGCGGGGGGCAGTGCATGCGTGGGGGGTCGGGTCTCTGCCACGCATGCGCAAGGGGCCATGTGTGCATGCACAGGGGGTGGAGTGCATGCATGGGGACCGGGCACGTATTTCATTTGGGGGGTTCAGGTGTGCACATGCATTCACACGCACACGCTTTGGGCACTCGGTCCAGAAAAGGTTAGCCATCACTGACCTACACCAAGCTGAAATATTTTCCCCTGGCTTCCTCATTAGAACATACTATAAAGGTATAAATTGCTATATTAAGAAGCCTGTAATGTCAGATGGTTCTTGAGCTTTTGAGTTGGAAATTTGAGCAGGTAATCTCACAGAATGGAACTTGCCCATCCACAAAGTAGCTATTTGATGCAAACACTGTCCAGACTGTATCTAAGCATTTCTTCCAGCTCCATATCTATTTCATTCTATCTTTCCTGAGTAACTGGTCTACAGTTGCACATCATTTTGATTTATAAAGGAAGCTTTCAAAACCTATTGGAAATAAAAAATGATGCTGGAGGATAGAGATATACTTTAGAGCATGCCAGCTTCTCAAATGTAGAAAAGTAATGGGCGCCTTGCTCTCCAGGACGCTGGCAATTTAAGCATCAAGATTTAATAAACTAGCAATCTGTTTCCATAGTAACAGGTATTAAATGGGAACATTTCAACCTATGTGTGAAGAGGTTAAACTCATTCCCCTAAGCAGAGACCTTGATGCCTATCCACACTGATTTATATTGGCTATTATACAAAGATTATACTTTAAATCAGATAATATATGTAACTATTTGAATATTGAAAAATATTTAATCTTATCTATATGGAGGGCATCCTCCCATATCTATTGACCTGAGCCCCCAAATTCTTTATATCTTCCTAA